TCTTTTGTGTGTGTGTGTGTGTGTGTGTGTGTGTGTGTGTGTACTTGTTTATGCTACATTGTTGGGACCAAATGTCCCCACAAGGATAGTAAAACCTGAAATGTTTGACATTGTGGCTTGCAGTCCCCACGAGGGGAAAAAATTATTAAAAATAGTAAATGATGTTTATTTAAAAGTGTAACAATGCAAACAGGTTTTCTGTAAGGGTTAGGTTTAGGGTTAGGGGATAGAAAATATCATTTGGTCCACAGTGTAAGAATGGCTTTAGGGTTGGCATGAGACTGGAGGGTATCGACTCTGAACACCCTTCCATGTACTGCGTCCTTACCATCGCTGAGGTAACAACCAAAACTCTAATATTGTCTAAAAATGAGTTGTAATATGATATTTTACTGTTATGTTACTTTACATGATCACTTTTGTCCATCTTGTGGCTCACTTGCGCATATTTGCAGGTGTTAGGACATCGAATCAGACTGCATTTTGATAAGTATTCAGACTGCTATGACTTCTGGGTAAATTCCAGCTCTCCTGACATTCACCCAGTGGGATGGTGCGAGAAAACCGGACACAAATTGCATCCACCGAAAGGTAAGAGACACCAGCCATTCACAGAACACCCAGAATTCAATTCAAGCAGCTTTGGTTGTAAAATTATACTTTTGTTTTCACTTTCCTGACTAATGTGTAGCAGTATGTGCTACTGTTCCTCACATGGCCCGTGTGGTTTTTGTGTTTCTGTAGGGATGAAGGATGAAGAGTTCAGCTGGTCCTCCTACTTCAAACTAAATAAAATACAGACCGCACCCAAAGCCCTGTTTCAGAACCAGAACATGGTGAGAGAGAGCATCACATGACCCCAGATGAAGCCATAGGAAATGTGTCCCATTTTCCCCTAGATGGCACTGTTTCACTTCAAGCAATGAAGCACTTAAACAAGACCAAGTTAAGACAAGGACATCCACAGCACATTTAACCTATGTTTAAACACTTCACAGTAGTAGGACGTAGATACAGGTTCAAGTGAAACAGAAAATGTATTTAAAACTTGACTTGATTTTAGCATCAGGATTTTATTGCATCATGAATTGCTAAGATATCACTGGTTGATATAGTAATTCAGGAGCAAGTTATTCCGACTGAATGGATAAGCTGTGTTTTTCAGACCGTGACGCCGTCAGGGTTTAGGGTCGGTATGAAGCTGGAGGCCATCGATAAGAAGAATCCCTCGTTCATCTGTGTCGCCACGATTACAGACATGGTGGAGAGTCGATTCCTGGTGCACTTTGACAACTGGGATGAAAGTTATGACTACTGGTAAATTCCCATCTTTGAATTCATGTCTTTATGCTATGCTCCTGCTGCGACTTTCCCTGAAAGAGAACAATTGTATTTATCTATGGACAGGACATCATTTTACAAAGACTTTCTATACGTTTTTTTTTTTTATCAATACATGCAGTAACTTTGTTAACAAGCCAAATGCACCAAAACTTGTAAGAAAGTGTTACGTATGAAAAGCGATTTTTACTCACTAATTCTAAAGCACAACATTATTTCAACCCTGATGGTTTGATGGTCATATCATTTAAATTCTGTTAGTATCACTCAGTTTTATTCTTAATTTCACCACATTATCACTACACATTTATAAATATTATTATTATAATTATTATAAAATAATTATTTACAATTATATTTCTTGTCTTTAAAAAACGAATCACTAATATAAAGTTCACTTTTGAACTAATATAAGGGTGAACATATACATATTCATGAACAATACAATACTGAAAAAGTATAGAGAAACTCACATCTGTGAACAACATGAAATCATATATATATTTTTTTAATTATATTTATGGGCTTTTTATGCCTTTATTGTGAGAGGATAGTCGGCGCCGACATGAAATCAATATTTTAATTTGAATCAGTGCATCATTTTTTTGTTCTATTTAACTCCTGCAAACATACAAGTTGGCTGAAATGCTGACGAAATTGATGAAACTGAACAGGCTTAAATCTATCAAATGACTAAGTTGAGTATCTTGCTCATTATATCAGTTGTAAGTCACGGAGGACAGAAATAGGGCAGGTTCTCGTTCTTACGAGTGACCCAGTTATCATTCTGTGCTGAGTGTGTGTCTTTGTATATGTGTGTGTAGAGCAGGCAGAATGCTTTTAACTGCTCATCAATTACTCAGGAGGAGGAGGATAGTGGCACACACTCTGTCTTCAGCTCAGATCACACAATCACATCTGACAGCTCTGTGCACTGAGCCCAAGAAGAGCACATCTTGTCCAGCCGTTATGGTCCCCGAACATCTCATCCCCACATTTGTTTCACTTCATTCCAACAAATCATTTCAGGAGATCAGGAGAACTGGTGCCTGTTTCGGCACATAATTCTGTTTTAGCCATCATCTTACCATCAGAAACCGCATCAGATGTTGCTGGTCACGAGCAATCTGGGGTTGGTCAGCTTGATACTAGAACTGCTGGAAGGGATTGTTAGATCCAGGCTAGTTTTGCTTCAGGACCGAGTACAGACCCAACACAGCACTTCAAATATTGATGCTCCGGAAAAAAATCAGAATGTCCTTAAAATCCAGTATTGAAATATATTAGCATTATCTGCCAGAACAGAACAAAATACAACATTTTTGAGCATTTGGTTGAATTTTGATGCTTTTGGAAGACATTAAACCACAGGAAATGAAGTAGTTATGATGCCTACAATTAATGACAAGAGATACATTTTGCTTCTGTTTTAAAAGTAGATGGGTTTTTGTTGCTATCTTAACTGCACATAATTATTTGGTTATGATTTATCAGAATGGTTTGCCCTTCTGTCTGTGACAGTCAAAAAAGATGTGTGCACCATATTTTTTAAGTTGTGACCCACTAGTGCAGATTAAATGCAAAACTGTGTTAATTTGTGTATTTCATTGTATTGTCTGTCCTAAAAAAAGTAAGAATTTATAAAAAAAAAAATTGATGGGGAAAAATGGATTCAGGGTTTTTTAAACAGTGCATGAAATGCATTAAAATGCATTTGTGTGTTTCTTCTTTTCTGCAGGTGTGATGCAACAAGTCTTTATATCCATCCGGTTGGCTGGTGTCAAGAGAACGGCAGGACCCTCACCACCCCTCCAGGTGAGGCAACGTTTGTTTTAAATGTACACTATTTCCCCCAAAAACCGATTTAAAAAACACTATGCAATAACCTGCTTTAAAAGTTGCCTTTTCCAGTGTTAGAAAGAGAGCTTGATGAAGGAAGGAGAAAAGTTAAGGTCTGCCTGTTGTATTTTTTAAGCTCATTAATTGCAGGTCTCTGATAGCATGCAAGACGACGTTAGGTTGTTGTGCTGGTTTAGATCTTAGCATGTGAAAGCCTTTCCAGCTGAAATACAGACTAGTGTCTTCAGAGGGACTTCTGTATGAGGACGTGGACTAGAGGACGATGTGTGTTTATTCTGACCTGACTTCAGACTTCTGCTGGGGATTCAGGAAAGACATATTGTGTATATAGTTCTTTATTATACCTATAGTTCTCTGCAAGTCAATTGTTGAGTCAGGGTTAATTCACCCTTCCACAAATTAAGGCCTTAAAAGGTCTTAAATTGTAGCAGAAAGTCTTATATTCATAGATGAATGCATTAAATGAAGATATGAAGTCTTGTTTTTTGAGAATTGAGTGCTTTTATGCTTTAAACAAGAACAATTATTTGCCAGTGGGCTATAAAAACTTGTTTTCCCTTTGAATTAACTTGATTTTGTTAAGCCCACTGGCAAATATTTTTTTTAAATCACCTCATTAATTCACTTCACTTTCAGCTGTTTTGTGTGTGTGTAAAATGGATTAAAAATTAATGTAGATTGGTTGCAAGTTGTATTTTTAAGCTTTGAAGTCTTGCTAAAAATCATTGTGCGCTGCTTGTTTCTCCTTTAATTTATTCCTTCAATTTTCTGTAATTGTTCTTAAAAGGGGCTTTAAAATGTCTTAAATTTACATTCATAAAACTTGCATAAACCCTGTTGTATTTAACATTATTTCTGATTTGATTATGTCAATCCTAATGTTTCATGGGACGGGACAAGTAGTTAATTCTCTCGTAAAAGATGTCCCTTTCTTTCTTTCTTTCTTTAGATGTTTCATGTTGTCTCTCTATCACCTTAGGTCCACCCAAAATGATCTCATAATACAGCATAAAAACTAGTGAGCTCTGGGAAATATCATGTTTTCATCCGTCCCTCAAACTTCACTCTCCATGTGCTGTAGGATACCCTGATGTGAAGAACTTCTCACAAAATGATCTCATAATACAGCATAAAAACTAGTGAGCTCTGGGAAATATCATGTTTTCATCCGTCCCTCAAACCTCACTCTCCATGTGCTGTAGGATACCCTGATGTGAAGAACTTCTCCTGGGAGAAATACTTGGCAGAGACCAACTCATTACCAGCTCCTGCTCGAGCCTTCAAAGTGGTGAGTGCATGTGCTTATTGCCAAGCATCTGCAGCCCCTGTGAGAGACCCGAGGCGCTGAGGACATGTGCCTCTCTCTCTCTTTCTCTGCAGAAACCTCCTCACGGTTTCCAGCTCAATATGAAGTTGGAGGTGGTCGACAAGAGGAATCCTGCTCTGATCCGAGTGGCCACAGTGGTTCATACGGATGACCATCGACTGCGGGTGAGAAACTATATTTTGCACACATGCTGGCTCAGTGTGAATTTCCATGTTGGTCTAGAGGGGTCAGCTGGTTGACCTTTTTTTACATTTTAAAGCCTCACACATGAATTAAAAGTCTAAAAAATCGTATTTTTTGAAATAGAACAGTTTATTGAACATGTAGACAAAATATAAATAAAAAGAGTGCTTTGTGTTGGTATATCTAGGGTGACCACTTGGTTATTGCTCTTTCAGAATAATAATTTTGCGGGACAATGCAGGGCATGTGTGAGAGAGATAAAGTTATTAGACTATAGAAATAATGATGATGATTGGAAGATAATTAAGGGATAATGCACGGCAATTTTTTAAACAAATTTAATGCACAACGTGGAGGCAAAGAACCACCTGATGCGAAGCGGAGCACATTAAAATTGTTTAATACACAGCTAGTCGTGCATTATCCCACTTATACCATGGTGATTTTCCAGTATTGACGAGTTAAAGCTGTTCATGATGTTTGCAGTGCAATATTTGATTGGAAGTGTAAAAATGAATTAATTTTTTTTTGCCAATTATGGCTCGTTAGCTCTAGCATTCTGCCCGCTTCAAATCAGACACAGAGATGAAATAGTGCAGTAAGATCACATTTATTTGAATAAATTAATTATAACATTGATTTGAATAAATTATCGAAAGAGAGAGAGAGAGAGAGGCATGCAAGTTGTGTGTGTGAATTACCTGCGTCTGTTCATCTTTCTCTCTACAAACAGTGAAGCTGTGAGTTTAATTACTTCAAAATCAGCAATTTTACCTCCTCGTTGCTGAGAAATATAACATAGTGATTCAGTATTAAAGCTATTTTATTAACAAAAGTGGCTGGGCAGTGTTAACAACACGTTTCTGTGCTCTTGAATGTTTCTCTGTGTACGAGTGATATGTGTGTGTGTGTGTGTGTGTGTGTGTGTGTGTGTGTGTGTGTGTGCATCAATGAAAGCACCACATCACTATAGAAAAAGCAGCTCATTAATATAGAACGGTGATTAAACTGACTTAAGTCTGCCTGTGCATCACGGTTTTAATGCACACTTTTCAGCCATCAGAATCGAGTATTCAGACAGGCCATGGTGTACCGTTTTAAACTGTCTATAAGCTCTGTTACTGGTACTCAATTTGCCCAGGTTCAAGTGATAGGCTACTATGTAACTTACTCTACAGGATCTATTCAGTCTACTAAATATAATGAACTGAATAACAGGCTAGTAGTTAAAATCTCATTTTATAAGTAATGACTAGTTTATGTTCCTTCATTAGACTATGCAAACATCAAATGTGTTTTACCGGATTCAGTGCATCTTGAACTTGTATTTTTTTGTTGGATCTGCCAGCTTCGATCTGGATGTTGTTATCCAATACGTGTCTAGATGAAGTCCTGACTGCTGTAGCTGCATTTAAAGACTTTTGATGAGGTCCAAACTGGTTTCTTTGCTCTGTCCAGTCATCATCAGTGGAAAAAAATCCTCTCTATGTATGCGTTGGTTGGTTATTTTCCCGGTCTAGCTAGGACAAATGGATTTTTTAATGGCAATCACATTTTTATTATTGTATTTCTTATTGTCGTAGTGTAATTTCAAGAAGAAAAAAAACAATCCGGAATGCGGGAGTCTGCTTACGTTTTGCAGGATGCGAGACAAAGCTCCCAATTTTGGGACCGTCCTGCATTTGTACATCAGGCTTTTATGGCTCATATAGTATGGTATGGTGATAATATGGAGCTAATTTCAAAACACTTTTTGATTTTATTTAGCTTTTTACAGATTGTGTCCTACATAGGGACTGAATATGATCTGCTTCTTGCTCACGTATCCATGAAATCCACTCTGGATCAAAGCATTTCATCACTGATTTCTTGCTCATTGTGTTGTGCAGTTTCCCAAGCATAATTGCTCTAATTGTCAGTGAAGATGCAGTGATGCAGTGCTGATTCAGCTGACGGTGATCCCATGACAGCATCTGATCTCTCAGCCGTCTGTTTGGGAGTTTAGAAGCGATCAGGATGAGTCATCTGTGCTTTTCCCTTCGTGTGGGCTGGAGGGAAGCACTGCTCCATATAGAAATCTTCTTTTGAACATGGTCTGTCAGTCCTCCGGCTGATAAAGGCTGATAAACGTCTGCTCTTCACACACATGAATGCGTGTTTGTGCCAGAGCCAATCTAATGCAGATTCTTGCAGTTGCAAGTTTTCAGTCGTCACTTCTTTGCTTGAACATTTCAGTTCAACACATCGCGATTCATACCAGCATTGCTTTGGATTCGAAGTACTGAAAAACGGCATAAGTACTGATGAGCATTTCCTGGAAAACAACACGGATAAGTCAGATTTTATTGCATTCAGAAATAATTTCAAATGTTGGTAAATAAAACCTTTACAAAACACTGTAGGCAGGTATTTAGTTCCCCTCACTCCACAACAAATCCTTCAAAATTACTGCATTTGTAAGTCGCTTTGGATAAAAGCGTCTACTAAATGTAAATGCAATGTAAATGTAGAATAAAGCCTAATAATTTTTTTTGGACAGTCTTAATTTAAAAAAATAAAGCAGAATCAGTAGATCTTCAGCAAAAAAATGTAAAAAAAAAAAAAAACCTGTAGTGTGATTTAAAGCTAATATCGTTAACTAAAACAATTAATACAATAATAATACATTCAAAATTTAAATAAAAAAATATATGTTTCAGTTAGTTGACAAGGCAGCATTTCTCATTTTTGTTTAAAATTAAGTACTAAAATAATTACAACTGAAAACTAAAACTTAAAAAATATATGAAGACCTATATAGACCTGGAAAAAAAATGAAAACAAAACATGACTAAAACTTGAAAAGTAAATATGATAATAAACAAAGAAAATATAGTAAAATCTAATTTAAAAGTTTAACAAAAAACTATAATAGTATATCAATTGTTAGAGCCATAAATGAATTAAAGCAATTAAGAAGTTTGTAATATGTTTCTTAATATTAAGAGTGATTTTGTTTTTGATATATGCATTTTTTTTATGTTATTTATATTGTATCACGTGACTCTGGTTAGTTTTATACATGCAATACATGCGTAACAATTTGAAGGAAGAAGAAGGGTTTTGTGCTAGACAGTCGTATGACAGAGGGAAAAGCTAACATTCAGGTTTTTGGAACTTAAGTGTAAAATAGTTCAATTTCTTTTATAATGTAACTTGACAAAGAAAACGTAAACTTTTACACTACAAGTTATGGATTCCCGTGTCAAATCATTTGTGCAATAGGTTTGTGGAAATAGTGAAGAATGGAAAAAGAATCAGTATCATTACATCAGTGATACTAAAATTACACTGGTTGTGAACAAAGCAAAAGGAAAACGAGATAGAGAGATTGCTAAATGGATGTAGTCATGGGTGGAAGCATGCAAACTGGAAGGAGATTAAAAGAGAGTAAGACTGATGAGAAGAATGCAAATGAAACATTTCTTTATCTCAAACTGTCATGCAGTGAATCACAAAAGCCAGTCTGGTCTGGATGGGCGGCACAAAGCCAGTCCACTCAGCCTCCACATAATGACTGTCAGCTGTGCTGTGAACACCACTAAAAACACTGCTCGCCTTTTTAGTCCGTCCCTGTTCCTGCAGTCCGGCTGATTTCCCAGGAACCCGTTTTATCGAAGTCCTGGAGACAGGCTGTCATTTAAGGGCCGTTGCTCTTTTCTTCTCATTGTTGTGATTGCAGCAGCTCTTTTCAAAGAGTTCTGAGAGTCTCAAACACAATATGACCGAATCACCCTGCCAGCCGTCTGATCGCTGCCAACGTTTCTTTAAGATTCCTGTTAAAACGTTAACGTCTCTAGAGATGAGCATTGCAATATGAAGATAATCTTCTCGAGGGACCTTGAAATGCTAGTAGCCAAGCTGTTCCTGCTTTCATCTGAAGTGCCGTGGGGTGTTTTGTACCTTATGTAAGAATAAAATCTCTATTTATCACCACACAACCATCTCTTCTGGGATTTGTTGTGACGTTCACACAGTGTCACCAGAGAAAGACACTATGACCCTGCAGGAACAATTTCTCCTGGCCTTAGGTGTCTCGATTAAGGGCAGTCTACCTAGAGCAATGGGTTAAGACATGCTTTTTTGGGCTTTAAATAATGACACAAATACCAGTATATTTACGACCACAGACCTTAGTAAATCACATTGCATTCATTTAAACCAGGGGTGTCAAACATACGGCCCACAAAGGTGTCCAATCCGGCCCATGGGATGATTTGAGCAATAATGTAAAATAATAAACAAAACATTATTAAAATTAAATAAAAAGTGTATTCGCAACAATATTTTATTTTTAACTTAAAGCAGAACAAATTGCTCATTTATTTGCATTGATGTTACGCCTCGGGACACAAACACACAGCTCAATATGGATCAAGCGGCGCCAAAATCTCCAGCAGCACATAACTGATGATAGTTGTGTTGTAAGGATGCTTGTGTGGGAAGTATCTTGTGATTTTAAAGATGTCTAAAAGAAGAAATTTGACCTGGAATGGCAGATATATAAGGAGAAACGGAAAGAAATGTATTTGTTCTGAACCGGTATGTTTAATCACAATGCATGGCTGTAGGAAAGTGTACAATATTAAATGACACTGTGTGATACACTAGACAGTTTAGGATTGAAAAGTAGGTAAAATAGGGGTGTGCGATATTTGTTGTCCACTATAATATCGTAATTATTGTTTTAATAATGTGTGAGCTGACATTATGCAACTCAGTTTGCAAAAAAACAACAAGCAAAAACACATCTTGAGAATCTTTCACTACAGGATAAAGGCTGTTAGAATGAAGTTATAATATAGTTTAATATATGGAGGCAAAAATGCAATGTAAGAGCTCTTGTTTTTATATTTGTATCACGGTATTTAAATAATATCACATGAGTAAGGGTGTTGTTTTCCTGAATATCAGCACGATCATAAGTGAATTGATTTTATGCAACAATTTTATGCAAACAAGATGTTAGTATTACTGTAAGTGAGTTTTGGTTTAGTCACAGTGTTGTCTGTTTGCTCTGTTTCACCGGAGTAGAACATTTGTGCATCTCCAGCAACAGTGTGTTTTGTTATTGAATGTTCCTGTGTTTTTGAACAAATGATTTGAGTCAGTAATTCATTGGCCCCATTCATAAAGACAACCGTCACTAGCTTCGTTTCTAAATGAATCAGCCGTTTTGAACAAATCTTTTGAATTAATGAGTCAATGAATCACTCGTTAAGATGGGGACTTGCAGACACCTACTGTTGGTTAAGTTTTATATTTACTTATACATTGCCGTCTTAACGCAAACAAGGTACTATCTCAAAAAACATTTGGCAAAATATGGTGTAATTATAAAAATATTGAGATTTTTATTTTCAATATTGCACACCTCTAAAATAACTGAGCATCATCTTTGAAGAAATGTTTTCTTAGTTTCCTTGTAAATTATATTGTAGTTTGTTTGGTTAGTATTAATGTAATTATAACAAAATCAGGGCTTGAAATTAAAAAAAAAAATTCAAACGGTTCACTCCGAGCAGAATCAATATTTTAACGTTTCTGTTTCTCCGTTCCTCTGTATTATTACCGTTCTGAAACCGGTTCGAGTAGAAGAAATACCGGTTAATAACGTTAATTTAAAAAAATCTATTTTCTTTGCCTATAATAATAATAATAAAGTACAGTGTTCTTGATCCTAATGATCTTAATCCGCTGCACATAGTCACAGCCAATACAGCATCATCTTTTCCAGATTTTCGCCAAATGTAGGCTACTAAACAAAAGAAAAAATCTATTAACACTTTAAAGACATGAAAGTATTTTTTAAGATATTTACAAATGTTTGCTGCATTGTTAAAAAAACGCTACTTGTATAAGATTGCGTTTTGAGAGTGAAAAAAGTCTAAGGTCACGTCGCATTGTATTAGCCCTTTTACATTCAGAAATAATGTAGGCTTAAATGCCGGTAGGCTTAAGCAAAATGTTTACAAACATTATAAACACAGTTAGTTTCTCTCCACAACAAATCCTCTAAAGTTAAGGCTATGCGTTTAGGCTATAAAAACGTCAATCCAAAAACTAATTAATTTAAGGTGAAACTGATGCCTACCTCTCTCATTCGGCACGAATCCAAATGTTTACATATTCGCGACGTATCTACATGCTAAAATATGATTTATTATAGGCTATAGGCTTTGTACTTTCATCGACGTAAAACATCATCCTTCACATCGGCTATATCAGCACAGTGAGGCGGTGGTCACGCTGAACGCAACAGATTGTACAACAGAGCAGTGTAACTTTTTATTTGTTTCTTTAACTGTATTTTATTTTGATAATGAACAGGCTGCAATGTCACAATGTTGTGTGTGCGTGAGGCGCCGCCGCGATGGTCATACCAACGCTGGTTGGTTATACAGATATAAGCAAAACATCATTCAAAACTGTCAAGCTTTTGCAAAATAAAGAAAACTGTAAAGCTTTTGTAAAATAAAGAAAACTACTGTCTGCCGTCTCGTTTTCCTTTCCGAGAACTTTGGAACGTGTCACAATGAACCGTAACTCACATTTTTTTCTTTCGTTTTGTTAATCTGTCAATGATTTAAGTGAAATATATTTTGTGTATATGCCTATATATTTATTTTTATGTAAGCCTATAGTTTTATTCTGTTTTCTCCGTTCACAGAAGCGCTGCAGTTGCATGTGATCTGTTGAATCCTTCTTACACTATCCCCGGATAAACTCTAACGCCGGTGCATTGCCATTGTGACTTACCTATGATGAGTTCACAGCTGAAAGCGGCATTTCACTCGCTGGATGCGTCAGTGACACATTTGCAGGCCGTACTACTGGAATTTGTGATTGGTTGACATCAAATTTCATATAATAAATGGAACGATAAAATAACGTTATTAACCGGTTAATGGCCATATAAAATGTTCGATTCTGTTCGGAACTATAAAATTTGATTTAGTTTCTGTTTCTGGTTCGGTTCCTGTCAAAATTTAGTTCGTTTCCGGATTTCGTTTTCGTTCCTTGAACCGGTTCAGGTTGCAAAAATAACTGTGTTCATGACTTTTCATCACTAATGTTTCACTGTGTGACTATAGTAAATCCTGCCAGTAGTTTTTTAACACCAAAAGCGGTTTCTGGTGCAAGCTGTTAGCAAATCTGGAGATTTATTAAATACATTAAATTCACTGAGGTTTATGTTTGAAACAAGAACAAATTATAAACTTTACCATGATCTTTAAATGTCAAAGATTTTACGATGTATTTGCATAGTGCACAAGTGCATAGTGTATAGTGCATCATTTGGGACGCAGCTTTATTGTTTTTTAGCATTGTAAAAGAGAGATCTGCATTGCTCTCTTTTAGGTCAATTTTGATGGCTGGACAGAAGAATATGATTACTGGATCGATGCAGACAGCCCAGATATTCATCCTGCCGGGTGGTGCGCCAAAACCGGACATCCACTGCAGCCGCCCATCAGTGAGTACAGACGGATTTCACACAAACTTCAGCTAAGAGACACGCTCGTGATGGAACGGCTGTTGCAAATGTCACGCAGCAAGACTTGAGGCCTTCAAAGACACTTGGCTTTGATTTTAAGGCAGCATCACATGTATTCTTACGGATAAGATGGGCAATGCACAAAGAAAGTATATTTTATTCAGTACTGCAAATATCAAAGAAGTATTTGCATCTACTTAAAATGGACAATTTGTTTTATATACCTATTAATATTGTGCAACATGCTAACATCTGACGCTATTGGAATTCATTGTTCCTCTCATTCACTTTGTGTGACACATGGAGATGATCCTATTTAATATGTTCCAAACAAAACAAAAAGCTGACTAAGATTAGATTGTTTTGTGTAGTGTGTAAAACGCAGAGCAAATGTGTTTTACACAGATGTTTTTGCACTAGGGTTTTTTGTTTTGAGAGAGAGAGAGTACTGACAGTTTCCAACAAGATGTTTCAGTGATTCAGACGAAACATACTGTAATCCCAGCCCTAAATGCTGAGTTAATGGCCACTCAAACAGCGTTCTCTATCATCTATAAATAGACTGCCTCAGACTCTCGAAATGACAGCCATTTTCCTCTTCATTTCATGGAAAATTGTAGCCGGTAGAGACAGAAGGAATGATGTGGGTATAAAAGAGGGATGGAGCGTCTAACAGTCCTCTCTTCCTATCATGTCACTATCTTCTATTAGCTCCAGAGGATGCTGGGAAAATGCTGTTGAACAATGAGCTTTTCTCCAGTCAGTCTTGCTGATAATCTTCTTCTCATTCTCGTTCTCGTTTCCTTCCTCTGTGTCCATGGAAACAGATCGGAGCAATGTTTAGAAATCAGCAACTGGCATCAGGATGTGACCGACTTACTGAGAGAGAGAGAGAAACAAAACGAGTGTGAGAAAAGAGAGAGAAACCAGGGAAAGAGAATATATCCATCAGAGTCTATATGTGATCCTAGAGCACAAAAGCAGTCTTAAGTCGCTGGGGTATATTTGTAGCAATAACCAAAAATACATTGTATGGGTCAAAATGATAGATTTTTCTTTTATGCCAAAAATCATTAGGATATTAAGTAAAGATCATGTTCCATGAAGATATTTTGTAAATTTCTTACCGTAAATATATCAAAACTTAATTTTTGATTAGTGATATGCATTGCTAAGAACTTCATTTGGACAACTTTAAAGGCGATTTTCTCAATATTTAGATTTTTTTTGCACCCTCAGATTCCAGATTTTCAATATATAGTTGTATCTCGGCCAAATATTGTCCGATCCTAACAAACCTTAAAAAGCTTATTTATGCAGTTTTGAGATGGTGTATAAATCAAAAAATTGACCCTTATGACTGGTTTTGTGGTCCAGGGTCACATATATACTCTTGAGTCTTATATATTTTCTATATGTGAATCTATACCTGAGTCTATATACACTCTCGATATAAATCTATATGTACTCTATTAATAACATTAATTACTCTGTCTTGGTTGTCTCTTTCGTAAACAAGTACACTAACTTCTGCTTAAATCTTATTTAAATTTTTCATGATTGCAGAAATGACTCCACAACTGAGACACAACCATAATAATTTGTATAAAAATGGATATGGATCATTTCACAAAATAAATATTGTAAAGATTTGTATTTTGATCTTTGTTTGGATTGTTATTGTTTTTATAATGGATTTTCATATTTTACTTGAAGATTGAAAGTGTTTGTCAACACATGGAGAGTTCAGATGCAAAAGCCTCTATGTGCCGTTTTAGAAGAACATTTCAGACGGCACATAGAGGCTTTTGCATCTGAACTCTTCAAATGTAAAAAAACATGTTATGTGACTTTCATGTAACAAAAAGAACACCTTTTAAATCTGTTAATTTGAAGACAGATCAACCCTTGGGACATAAAAGTGTCGAAAGCTGAAAAAAACACCCATATCTGTATATTACATTTGATTTTGTTACATTTTGTCTCGGTGAGGCTCATGTGTGTACTGTGTAATCACTTATCACAAACAGTCATTGACAACTCCATGTGTAAGCTGATATTGTGGTTTCCCGAGTGAGGATGATGTGATGTGCTTCTGTGTGTTTTCTTCATAGCTCCTCAGGACATGTTTGAGACGTCTGAGCAGGGCGGCTGTCCCACGCCAGGCTGTAAGGGAGTGGGTCACATCAAAGGAGCCCGCTACTCTGGACACCACAGGTCAGTGTGAATCTGTGTGTAAGTTTATTTGTTTGACATCAGAGTTTGGTTAATCTCGATAATTTGAACACTGTTTGAGGGTGCCTAAAAAGAGGGCAGCGGACCACTGCTTCATGATACAGTTCACGCAAACCCCAGTATAGTTTGTTTCTGATGTGAACTTAATCGTACTAAATGAACCCCTATTGCTGAAGTATGAATTGGTCAAACTGTGCATTTCTCAACTCACTTTCAGTTTAGATCTCATTTCCCGTTGCCTTCAGCAGAAATGGACATACTGCTTTAAATTTGTACATGTGCCATTCTCTGTTGCACTTCGGAAACAAAAACAAAAGCGAGGCAAGAAAGCTACGGTATCCATGCATTTCTCCGTCTTCTGCATAGTCGGTACCAAGCAACAGAGATAAAAAGCTGTTTATCAAATATAGCAAACGTAAGCTCAAATGTGCTTGTGTGACATTGGTTCTCGTGTGTCAAATAAGCATGTGATGCTAATAGGCTGACTCTGCATGGTCTGTGTGTCTGTGTGAATGAATGACGCGGTTTCATCTGATACACAAACTCAGCCACACGTGATGCTCACTGTGTTTTCAGCGTCTGCATCTCAATATATGAGAGATGAACACACATGAACTTCATCTACAGAGCTGCTCTGAGAGTCACAAGCTTTTTACCATTTACTTTGAGAAAACTACTAAGACACACTGAAACTGAAAGATCTTCATGGCAGCCTGTCTAAAATTCTGGTTTAACTTGAACAAATTATGACAGAAATGTATTATGATTGTATGCTAAAATGTAATTCTCAAATAATAATAATAATAATAATAATAATAATTCGTATTGTTATTTTAAATATATTAAATATAAGTATTAATTGTTATACAGTACTGTTGTGCAGCATATTATTTGACAAAAAAATAAAAAATGCAATGTTTTGTTGTAAATTGTTTAAAATTTCATTGCATAATAATAAATTGTTAAAGTTGTATTAATTCATTTAATTAGATACCATTTTAATGATAAATTTGTATTGAATCATAAAACACAGAATTCAGGAAAAAATAAAGGGGAAAACAGGATTCATGGGGAAATAAAACCGATTTCATGGGGCCCTAAATTAAAAGGTAACTCTGTGGAGTTTAAGTGTGAACAAACAAATTATCTTTACATTCATTCTCAAGGTCTATCAAACATGTTGAAAGTATTTTCTTCCCCATTAATGATAAATAAATATCATGATAAATATCGATATGATGTGGAAAAAATACTGTGATAATATTTTTGGCCATATCGCCCGGCCTACCCTGAATATCATCTTCAGCATATCCTAGCTCAGTCTAACCGGACTAATGATCACTGGTCTTTCTGCTCTAACACTGCGGCTCAGATCAGCTCTCAGAGCAGCGATCAGCCTGAGGAAAGGTGTTGCATGTCTGTTCTCTGATGTTTCTATTTTTACAGTCTCAGAAAAATCACCCAGAGGGCAAGAAACCCATACTGATCAAAGCTCATATGGAAAATATCACTTTACAGAATCAAACATGCTTCATATTTGTGATAACTTCTAAGCGAGGGATTCCCAATCTTTTTTGCCAGCTGAACCCCTTAGACAATATATTTACTTTAATTTCCAATTTAAATTTTAAGTTATTATTTAAATGATTTAACAACACATGCACATGTGTCACTTAATGATCATGTGACATGCAAATAGATAAAATATTTAAAATAAATAATAAATATAAAAATTATATTTTACATTTTTTTGTCTTTTATTTTGACTTTATAGATGTATTTTGTGTTATTAAATTACTGGTGTTTTAACTATCAAATTGAATAATGATCAGTGTAATTTACAATAATAATAATAATACAATAAAACAACAGCACCAGTAACAGTTATTATTATTTTAACTATAAATTGAAGACAGAAGGCATATTGCTGTAAATTACAATTGTATTGTAAAATAAAAAATGAAAATTGATAATTATAATAATAGTTTTCTAAACATTACACAACATTGTAACATTAGTTACAATACTAATATTGTCTTAAATTCATTCTAAACATTCATACAGTCAAGCTTTTGTTTTGTCAGAATACTAATGAAATGCTGAAGCTATTTAAAAGTTTATGCATTGTTGCAAATTATGTGACTGTGAAAATAAAGTACATTCCCAAATGTTAAACTCGCAGCACATGCAAAAGGGATTTTTTTTTAATTTATTTATTTCTTTCTTTTTGTAAATCAAGTTGATAAAAACACCAGATCATCACACAGTGACGAGGTGCAGAAGACTGTAAAGTTATTTGATTGAATCAACTATAATTGCGATTATCACACAGCCCCATTTATTTTAATTTGACTCTTGATATAATTAATTATTAACTTTTCATCAGGAAACACTACCCAACTGAGCAATACTCAGAATAAATGATAGCTAGTACATGCATCATTTAATGCCATGACTTTATGCATTTAAGACTTTCTGCTCCAATTTAAGACCTTTTTAGGCCTTAATTTGTGAAAGTATGAATTAAGACTTTAAGACACGTGACTAGATACAAAGCACAGCTACTGAACTGCAATGACAGATGAAAGGTTTTTAAATTGATCAGTGTTTCCTGGTGTTTCAGTGCCGTGGGTTGCCCGTATTCTGACATCAACCTGAATAAGGACTCGGTTCTGCCGGATCGTTTGAGCGGAGAGATGCCGGGAAGCGGAGTGGGTCGGCCGCGCAGAGCAGAACCAAGCGCAGAGATTTCAGCTGACGCTAATGAGTGAGTGTTCGTTTCTCTGATGGGTTCTGCTGAAATATTTAAAGAGCTCTAATGATGGAAAACCCCTTAAATAATAGTTGGATGTACAGTACTGGGTGTCACGCTACTCCCGCTCCAGCAAACCCAAACTGCAGAACTGACTGGGAAAGATTAATGATTATCACACCACAACCATGACTGTGATGCTGAGAGCCATCTTTTCACACTGAGGGACTCGTATGCAATTATTACAAAAGCTGCACACATTCATCGATGCTCAAGAAAGCAGTGCAATGCATGAAGAGCAGGGGGTGTAAACTTTTGAACTGGAAGATGCATGTGAATTGATTTTACTTTATGGCTTCTGAAGGACAGTAGTAACTAAAAAACAAACAACGAAACAAACAAAAGATCTTTCATATTTGTATAAATTCTGCAAGAGGTTTATAAACTGTGAATACTATGCAAATGTATGGTACACTATGCAAATTTATGCACCTAACTGTATATGATCGCCCACATTAGCACATCTACATGTATTCAGTGTTCAGTAACTTGCTGGAGACACGATTAAAGAGTAAAGAGTTTAGCCAATCATTACAGAGTTCATTTACATAGTTTTAAAGGTACAGTAGCAGAAACAAGCTGTTTCATTATAACTCTACAGCAGACAAGAGTGGCATTTTGCGATGCATTAAAACTAAATGACTGCCGCCCTGCACCCTGTTTAAATATATTTCTTAATTATTACCTCAGAGTCAGCTCATGATGTTTCTGGCCTAGTAATTTGAAAGGTTGAATGTTGATAACCATGTCAGAGATGCAATCAGAGACTTCAGCCTGAGTGTCACTTAAAGGACTTTTCAAATCTGAACAGATTTTAAAACACCAGGTATCATACACTTGGTGACTTTGTAAATGGTTACAGTGAAAAAACTGGGCATCATGCACTAAATGACTGAATATCACACACTACCTGGTCTTGTGTTGCCAGATCTTTGACTGAGAGCATATGGTTTGGTCTCTATAGCTGCTTCAGCTGGCCAATACAGCCACATAGGTCAGACGAAGTCATCTGAATGGGATGCACAGCAACCAATAACAGTTTGTTTTGCTCACTGACATGTTTATACAATAACAGAGTGGTGTGCAACCATACTGTACATCATTCATTCAAGGTCGGCTTGAAAGTTAAAGCAAGTTATGGTGCAACAATCTGCATTAGAAACACCTAAGAAAATAGTTGGTGATGTCTGTAAAGTTTGTTCTCAGAATCTTAATCTATCCAAAATTAATATGCATTGAATATTTCAATGGTCTGCTATTCCAGCCAGTTATTCCTGATACATGTCTGTTTGGTGCATGTTTCTCCTCATTTTTTAGTGCTCAAAAGCAATTCAGGTGATCCGAATATATTACTAAACCTGTCAGTAGTGGTGTCAGTGTCTGTACATTTATATTTCTGTTATATTTTTGTTTCTCATATCTTGTAGGCAAACGTGCGAAAATACATTCAGCCAAGTGCCTCAAACAAAACTCTATAAATGAATACCTTGAAATGTTTCTAACATTTCAACATTTCTAATCTACACACACACACACACACACACATATATATATATATATATATATATATATAAACACACACACACACACACTGTCAGACTCTGTTCCGTGTTTTGTGGTTGTTTTCCTCATGTGCCTTCCTTTCCCATGTTTAATTTGTCCCAGGTGTTTCCCATGATGTTTCATTGCTCCTAGGTGTGTCTCGTCATCCCCTCCTCCTGTGTGTATAAATAGTGTTCCCTGTGTGTGCTCCAGCGTCCGGTATTGTTTGTGTCTACAGTGCTACGTGTGATTCCCCGTGAAGATGAATAAATTCCTTGGTTTCTGTACTCTTGGTCTCCTCGTTCCTTGCTCTGTGTTCCCGCACCGTAGCAGATCGTGACACACACACACATATATATATAGAAATTACTCCTAAAAGATCATTTAAAGTCATTGTTTTGTAAAGCATCAAACAGACATTACAAAAAGTAGCTTCAGCAAGAAATATATTTTTTTTTTATAAAATTTATTACATATACTCTTTTGGACCATGAGGGTGTGTAAATGTTGACACAATTGTCATTTTTGGGTGGGTGAACTATACCTTTAATAATTTATTTTATTAATTTTATTATTATTACTGTGGAAATATGAAATAATTTTTTTAATGAAATGATACTCTAAATAATAAACTAAAACTGCAAGTAGGTGGTGGTAAATGTCTTAATGATTAAGTCATCGAGTCATTTATTCAGTCTTTTGATTTGTTCAAATGGCCGATTCATTCAGGAGTGAAGTAAATGGTTCTTTATGAATGGTCCATTGAATCATTCAGCTTGTTCGACCTGAAGTGGATCATCACCATTAGATCGATCATGTGTGACACCAAAGTACCGCAAGAGCTATAGAGAGAAGACGGCTACTTATGCTTTTGAATTGCTCTCGCGGTACTTTGATGTCATACACCGATCGGTCTGTGCAGTGCTGGTTCAACATGCCAAATGGTTCACCCAATTCGTTCAAAACGTGCATTAAGAAATGAAATGCCGCTGTGTGTTGCTCAGAGATTAACAGTTTGCTTTGTCTTCATATTTTCGTTGGCAAAATTGAGCAAAACAGACAACATTGTGTCTAAAATAACACAATATTATTACTTCTTACTTATTGAACTGTTGTATAAGATCAGTATCACATTTGCACTCGTGATATTGCATTTAGCCTATTGCTCGTGTGATATTGCTTAACTATATGATGTAAATATGAGACAAAAACTCAAACGGGCATTTTTGCCACATATCTTTAATTTTAGGGACATTCTAACTACGTTCTCTAGGCTCCATCACGCAGTGAGTTGTTGCTCTGCCTCATATTTGTCATCAATCAGCTGTATGAAATGTCAGATGACCCACATGGGGCGGGGCAAGTGCGTTAAATGCATTCATAATTTTAACGCGTTATTTTTCACTGTAATAAATTAATCTAATTAACGCATTAAATTACCAGCCCTAATATATATATATATATATATATATA